CACAAGGTAGAAAAGCCGCCAGGTAGGAGCGAGGTCACATGCATCATTGGGCCACTCATTCATAATGATCTGTGGCTTTCTGCCCTGTCCAGGTGGACTACTCACTCTCCTCTCTGGTTTTGCAATTTGCACCCAGTGGCCCTAAAGAATCAGAAACGTGTCTTTCCTGTATCACAGATGCACCAACACCTGCACGGGTGTTGGCCAGTCATCTCTGGGTCCCCTGGCTCTACACCCTGTGGTTAATACTTTATTTCATATTATTTGTTCGGAGCTTAAAAAAAGATTAAAAAAAAACCCTTGGTTATTTTTTAGTTTTTAATTTTTAAAAATCGAACATAATCCCCAAACAGTGTAAGAAGCCCAACGACGTGAGCGAATTCCTAGCTGGGTTAAGTGTTACAGCAGGCAATAGTCAAATGTTAAGTGCCTTTAAAAAGTCAAAAGAAACGCATAAAGCAGTGCATGCATTTTGTTGCCACAAAATAAAGACTGGATTTGGAGAGGGATTACTTCGTTTAAGTTACATTGCTATTGTTAAAGAATAGTGAGTCATAATGCAATATCTAGAACATATATAACCACCTACACAGTAGCATCACTTTATCTAGAAACAAACATATCAGTGTTACTAAATGAACATATTTATAAAATACTGTACACTGCTTCTGCAGGGGGTTAGCAGATGTAAACAAACAGCTAATTCAACTGGAGTTTAAATTATTATTTTAAGTTCATTTGTCAGAGAGTCTTTCGCATCACATGCCAGTTCGTCTTTCGCAAAACACAACTCGCCTACCATGGCTCACGGGGCTGGTTAGAGGATGTACATCGGCTTATGCAAGTATTTCCTCATGGGCTAGAGGACTGTGAAAACCATAAAGCAGATCGGGAACAAAAGTGCTCATTTTGCGAGGATGCTGAATAACATGGAATTGGGAACATACTTAATCCTTGCAACATGTGCTTCTTTATTGAATGTTACAGATTGGTCAATGATTATAAAGCTGTCCTGTAACGTTCATTAATACAACCACATGCTACAACTATGCTGGGTGAAACATGGGTTACATCTATGTGTACATGTGTTTTATAATACAGCATTGCTCGACACATCGAATGGTACAGTCTATAGATAGAGCATGATGGATGACTGGATAATATTGATTACCAAGATAGAAGTTAAACAGCCCAAACATTCGGGAAGATTAGACTGTATAGCCGCCTCAGAAAGTCAAATTAATGTACTATCCAGTTATCTACCATAATATTATCTATAGAAACCATCTTTTAGAATACATTTGAAACATTCAGAAGAAACACACTGTGTGTTTTTACAAGTATATTTTCCCCATTGGATTATTCATGTGTGTGTGTGTGTGTGTGTGTGTGTGTTTTAAGGGGGACTTTCAAAGTGCTAAATATATATCCTAGACCTGGAAGCTTAGACTTAAAAGGAAAGCCAGTTCTGGTAAAGTGCTGTATTCTGCCTGCTAATACGCCTTCTGGCTTGGAGAAATACACAAACTAGCCATGACAATTGTGTCCAAGATTTCCAGCTCCTCATTCAAAGCCATCCAGGAGGAAGTTTCTAACTATAAGTATGTGGGTCAATCAGGGAATTTCCATGGCCATTTTCATAAAACACCCTTGATCTTTTTTTTCAAAAGGAACAAGCGACTTAGAACAAATCATTACATATAGTAGCATGTAAAAATTGGCACCTCAGAAGCAGATGATGGAACCAAAGCTATTACTTCTATGAGCTCCCTATGACTTTATTTATGTTCCTCAATAATGTGCTGCTCATGAGCTGCTTAATTCACAGAGACAGGTAATTAACGTCTCCTTGATCAGGGACGGGATGGAATAAATGAGCTGAACATAAACTTGACTGCACAAGGCCACTGAATCAAGGCCATAGTGGGGTGCAGAGAACCCAGAAATGGGAAGAAATGGGTTGAAAGAGAATACACACATCTGTGCACAGGAAAGAAATGGCTCACGAGAATTGCACGATTTACATTTAACGTCCTTTAGACTTGGCTTATATATCTTGCACACGTCACAAAAGATGTAAGAGCTTTGTTTTCCTGTACAACCAAAGAACCAGGCAGTCACAAGGTCAGGACTGGTAAGGACTGCGTTTCCCTGGTCCTCTTCTGTTCTCTCCAGAAATCACAATGAATGGAAACACTTGTGCACATAATTTCTTTCCCTCACTTTCCGTCCGGTCCAGAATGAGGCCCTAGAGGTGCTGTGATGTCCTGCTCTGTGGCCAAAGAATAATGGTTTCACCTCCTCCTTGGATTCCTCTACAGACTCACTCAGAGAGCCTTCTGGCTTTTTAAATCATCAAACATTAGGATACAAGGACATCAAACTAGCAAAATATAATCTAAGGGACGAAAAGAACAAAATCCTGGTTCCAACTCTGGTGCTGAGACTTGGCCTTCCTGAGAATCACAGATAAATGGTCTCAAATGTAAAGTGCCTATTACAATGGTATTGATTATGAACAAACACGGTTCCTCTTCCTCATTATCAAGCAACAAGGAACCAGGGGTACATGAACCCTTTCAAGTTACACTGCAACTCTGCATGTATGTATATTTTTTTCTGGGGAGAGGGCCCAGAGCTTTCATAAGATTCTCACTGAGATGCATGACTCAAGGAAGTTTAAGGGCAACTGATTTATTCTCAGACCAAAGGCATGTTTGCTGGAACGGAAACAGTCAATGTGGGGCTCAATAAAAAATGTAAGCATTTCTAGAGCAATTACACATGAGGGAGTCTGGTTGCTTATGTCCGATTCACCCAAATACCAAAGAGTGAAAAGGAATTCTTTAATTCTTTATATGTGGCCTCATAATTATATCTATATCCAAAAGGCTTGTTCAGAGAGGCAGAGGGGTTAAAAACAAAAACAAAAACAAAAACAAAACAAACTTAAAGGCTAGAGCTTTTGTCCACGTACTTACTTGATTTCACATTATGAGAAAATCTGGAGCTCACAACGACAACTCAACAGGAGAACCACATAGTATTTTGGGGGCCAAGAACATTAGGTCATTTTCCTTAAAGATTTTATTCTTTTGAAAATCAGTGACACAAGTAGGAATCGGAAGATTTGAGAGTCAGTATTTCTTTATCCCCCGTCAAATCCAGATTCTGACCTAGTAGTGGACGTCTGTATTAAAGAGTCCGTAATACTATCCGGTTTAGATGCGCATGTCTAATTCAGATTGTACTTAGCATAATCACTTTGTGCGGGAGAAACCAGACTAAATAGGATGTCATTGCAGCAAGTGTTTCCGGACAGAAAACAAGCAGAGGGCAGGAAGCCAGTCATTTTGGCAACTTTAGTTTGGTGCAAGGAAGAGTTAAGGTCACAGGGACTTAAAAAAAACATAAGTTCAACATCTGTCAAAAATCCAACGTGACAGAATGAACTCTTTCAATGGAACTCCTTGAATATTAAAATATCCTGATTATACCTCACGGTGATAGAAAAGAAATCTTAAGAAAGCTCTATATGCCTGTTTAGATACTATATATAAACATGTCTCTGTGTGAATGCACATATATGTATATAAGCAGCATATACTATAGAAGTCTTTATGTAGTTTATTTGCTTTCTACTTGAGTCTACTGTATCATTTTTATAGCTCTGTCTATAAGAAAAATATTCATGGTATGCCTGCAACTGATGGCTTTGGGTTGATACCAAATTCCCAGTCAATTCTCAGGTTATTTATGATTTGAAACTTCCTTAAAAAGTACTTTGGAACATTTCCATAAAAAAGATACCAGCCCTTGAAAAACTCCAATGAAATTTATGCTGAGCTCAGATTAAACAGCAAAACTCTAGGTATGAAAATATCCATGTGTGAGCAGATCTTCATATACAAAATGGTCATGTGATGAGCGGTGTGAAGAATTTCCAGGTACATCTTGGAGATGTCCAGAAGACATGGTGGAGCCATGCAAATGATGACAATCACACAGCAGCATGACACAAGACACGGATGGTGAGAATGTAACAGTATACCACATGGCAATTTAAGGTGCCTTCTGCCCACTGCATATATTTCTTTCTTTTAGTTCACTATCACATATTCAGTGAGTGACTTGACTGATGACAGGTGAGGTACAAAATAAATTAAAAAATATAAAATTATTTAATTACATTCATCCTGAGCTTGCTCAACTATACTCGAATGCCCACTGTATATAATAAACCACTTGACATTTGTTTTTAGCCTCAATTCTTCTTTCATTTTGATTGCAATACAAAAAGGCATTTCTTTTCCCTTTATTTTCTTCAAGAAAGAAACAGTTGTGGCACCAGAAGTGAATATATAAGAGACAGGTGAACTATGACTGTTACCTTGTTTTTTCTTTATAATGATCAATTACAGAAGTGTTGGCATGAGAAGGATGTGGGACGTTAGGTAGAACTGCTTGCTGCCGGCTTATACTGAATAAAAAGGATGCTCTTCATCAGTCACCAGTGATGGAGCCAATGTGAAAAGAAAACAGAATTGAAGTTTAGAATATCTCATTTGTATGCTGGCTACTTTATTTTATCTTATTTCGCAAATTAGCCCTGTATCCTAAAACTCCTGATAATGGTCAGAAATGGAAAGATGCCTCCTGGCATGGAGAGTGCTCGAAGCCCCTTCATTCCCAGAGCTCATGGCTTTCTGAAGTCACCAGACATACACATTCAACGCAACCCTTCTTCTCCCTCTCTTGCCTCCCTACCCATCAAGTGTGAACACGACTTAAAGCCCCTGTGTTTGGCGCTGGGCTATAGACAGAGTGCTTTCTCGATCTGTGGCCCAGAAGTCACCTTTGAGTTAACACCTCCCAAGGCATCACTTGTTTTGCTCAGCTAAGAATAAAGCAGGTATGTTTCTAGGAAGGGGAACAGGTGGGGTTCGGGGAGAATTTTAGGGCTGGATTCTTGAGCCTCCTGCCATGCTTATTAAGAAGGTTTAGTTGTGCTTGCTTTCAAAGCTGTGGAAGGCGGATGTTCTGGACAGTCTCCTCATGGACAGGCTGTCCGCTCGTCCCTCCGGCTTGGAGGACTTACTCCTCTGGAAGGGATTTCGCAGGCTTGCTGTGTTCCGCTGCCTGTCGAGTCTGTCACTGATGGAGAAGCTCTTCCTGGTGTGTGCATATGGCACGCTTGGCTCCTCCGCCGAGTAGCTGTTGGCACGCTCTATCTTGGGAACCGTGATGTTGTTGGACAGGGTTCTGTCCGAGTTATCACCCTCCCGGGCGGGTACTGTCATGGTGGCCCTCCGGCCTTTGGCCTCGTTCTCCTCACTGTCAGAGCTGGGGTGACTCAGTTCTGCTTCTCGCTCGGGATGGCAGCAAGATGAATCCTCCACTTTGCCTCCAAGACCGCCAGGGAAGGTGGCCCTGTCAGCAATCGCCTGAGGGGCATTGACACACCTTGTGTCAATACAGTCTGTAATACTTGTGTATTCTGCTGTTTTCACGGGCACCCCAAAATTGGCGTAGTAGCTCCTCGAAGGAGAAAACATAAAGCTATGAGATTTCACGATGGGGGCCTCTTCTAGAAGAAAGGGTGTGGTGGCTAGGTAGCGGCTGCTTTTGGAACGCTCGAGGCTCTGGTACATTGGAGGCTCAGTGTCCCAGGGGTTTTGGCATTCTGGGAGGTGGGTGTAGTCTGAAGAAAAAGATCTAGTGTCCATGGAGGTGATGTCCTCAAAGTCAATGCTCCGGCTTGGAGGTCGGTCTGTGGGTGCAAGAGTTGCATAGGCACTACTCGAAGGAGCTGTGGAAGGTGCTGGAGCCGAAAAGCTGGGCTCACCCAGCCCAAGGATGTTCACGGAATTGTCCAGAGGGTCTATATCACAGTGCAGTTCATCCATGGCAGAGACATAGATGTCTATACACGAAGACGGTCTTCTGGAGTCAGGAACGATGGCCAAGGTGTTTGCAGGAGCTGCAGGAGCTTTGGACTCTTTTGCTACAGAGTGGGAGCTAGTAGCCCGGTGTAGGCTCAGGGACCTTTCTTTAAAAAGACTCTCCAACTTTTCTATACCACCTTTGTCTCTCATATTGACCGAATAGAAAGAATGGCTTCTCATACGGGGCATTAGGGTTGGAGAAGTTGGGGACATGGTCTCCTCACCTGCAGGGTCTATACTCTCTTGGAGCTTGAAGGTGTTCCCCTCCTGGCTGTTGAAGCTGCTCTGGCGCACGATGTAGGCGGCGTCTGTGCAGTCAGACGAGGTCCGGGAGCGGATTTTGTTGGACTCAGCCCGCTCCAGACCTGTCAGGCGCTCTAGGGCTGTGGCCATGCGCCCAATGAGGTCCTCGAGCTGTGCCAGCCGAATGTCCACGGTCTGGAGCGAGGCCTTCATGCAGTGCTCTCTCTCGTTGACTTCCTCCAGCCGCATGGACATGTTCTCCACCCTGGGTGAGAAACAGAATGAGGGTCACGCAAGGCCAGGTTCCTCTCTGGAGAATCTAAATCGTCTTGAGCTGGAAGAGGCCTGAGAGATGATCTAATCCAGTGGTATTTATCTACCAAACCCCTTTCCACTCAGTAAAATTTAATGCACAATCCCAATAAACACCAAAGTTGACTAGTTCTTATTGAAGTGGAGTGGGGCCAAAGCACCTCATGACTTAGCTGGGACTTGGGGTGGGGTTTAATGAACTAACCAAGTATTAGGGCGTCGGCTTAATCAGTCACCACCAAAATGAGAATGTTGTCTTTTGATGGCTTTACTCAGAAGTGCACAACAGAATTTTAGAAGGCAGCTTTTCTCGTGGCAGTGTCCACGAGACTGAGGAAGACTTGGAGTATGGACTGGGGTTATTTTTACTTTGCATTTATTTTATTTTTTTTACAGATTTTATTTATTTATTTATTTATTTGACAGCGAGAGAGAGAGAGAGAGAGAGAGAGAGAGAGAGAGCATGTGTGTGTGTGTGCAAGCAGGGGGAGCAGCAGAGGGAGAGGGAGAAGCAGGCTCCCTGCTGAGCAGGGAACTGGACTTGGGGCTTGATCTCAGGACCCTGGGATCAGGACCTGAGCCGAAGGCAGACGCTTAACTGACTGAGCCACCCAGGTGACCCTATTTTGCATTTATATAATAATCTTTCTTTTTGTTGTTGCCGTTCACAATAATCTTTTTAAAATTTAGCGCCTCCAAAGGAATTAATACAGTCCTGTCACTGAGGCACCTGGAGGTGATCTAATTTAACCCAAGCCTTTCATTAATAAAGGAAAAGCAAACATCAAGGAATTTAACCAAGATTACATAAAGTAATTTGTGGTAAATTTTGCTACTCCTCTCTCTCTCTCTCTCTCTCTCTGTTTCTCTCTGGATAGCTGGTCACAGATGCCTTCTTTTACAGTTATTTCTAGATGTCTTTACCCTCCCCACTGGAAATTCTCAAGGGCGTGATCTATCTCATATTCCTTTTTCCATTGCCATGCTGCCAGGTGTCACTAACAGTTCACCTAGACAATCGCGGTTATGAACTTGATTCCAATGGTCTAGTAGGCTGCCTGGATATTTATTTACAAAGACAGAGTCCACATATTTAAAATAAAATTGTGGGGCGCCTGGGTGGCTTAGTCAGTTAAGTGGCTGCCTTCAGCTCAGGTCATGATCCCAGGGTCCTGGGATTGAGCCCCGCATCGGGCTCCCTGCTCGGCGGGAAGCCTGCTTCTCCCTCTCCTGCTCCCCCTGCTTGTGTTCCCTCTCTCGCTGTGTGTCTCTCTCTGTCAACTAAATAAATAAAATCTTTATAAATAATAAAATAAAATAAAATAAAATAAAATAAAATAAAATAAAATAAAA